CGCCATCCAACCATCATGGCTGACATGGTTAAAAATAGAACATAGGGGTAAAATGCAATTTTTGGTTTATATCTCTGAAACTAAAGCATTTAGAGCAAATCTGTTCATCAGATTTAGATTTATCTGCCCTGAAATTTTCATACGAATCCGACAACCCGTTGTTTGGTTGCTGCTCCTGAGTTAGAAATTTTACAGAAATTTTGCAGTTTTTTGTTATTATCTTAGATATCATTATAATATCTAATATCTAATACTATTAATTATGATTTTAACCTTATTTTACATGATTTCCAAAGCATCAGTAAATACAGGTGAGCGACACAGGCTCTTGCGAGCCTCTAGTTCTAGTTTCCAGACAATAACTTGGGTTTAAGTGTATGGATCTCTCTGAAATTGTACTGCAAGGTTCCATATCACAAAGGGAATGCTTGGATTGATTTTGGGGGTAATTGCCTCAAAATTTTAGGAATTAGGGGGCAAAAAAGGGGCAAAAAACAAGCATTTTTCTAGTTTCATGACAATAACTTGTGTGTAAGTCTATGGATCTTTCTGAAATTGCACGGCAAGGTTCTATATCACAAAGGGAAAGCTGGGTTTGAGTTTGGGGGTTCAAGTGTATGGATCTCTCTGAAATTGTACTGCAAGGTATCATACCACAAAGGGAAGGCTGGGATTGATTTTGGGGGTAATTGCCTCAAAATTTTAGGAAAAAAGGGGCAAAAAACAAGCATTTTTCTAGTTTCATGACAATAACTTGTGTGTAAGTCTATGGATCTTTCTGAAATTGTACTGCAAGGTTCCATATCACAAAGGGAAAGCTGGGTTTGAGTTTGGGGGTAATTGCCTTAAACGTTTAGGAATTTGGGGCAAAAAAGGGGCAAAAAACCAAGCATTTTTCTAGTTTCCAGACAATATAACTTGTGTTCAAGTGTATGGATCTCTCTGAAATTGTACTGCAAGGTACCATACCACAAAGGGAAGGCTGGGATTGAATTTGGGGGTGATGAATCATAAGGGGGTTAAAAAAATTTGGAGGGAGGGATTTTTTTTTCCTTTTTTTTTCTTTAAAATTTTCCATTTTAAATTGGTTATTTCTGATTTATATATAAAAGCAAATAATAATGATATGGTTTGAATAGGTAAATTAAAAATTTATAAGTTCTTAGACCACATTCATTCTTTGTCAGAAACCTATGCTGTGTCAAATATTTAATCACAATCCAAATTCAGTGTGTATCAAGCTTGAATGTTGTGTCCATACTTGCCCCAACTGTTCAGGGTTCGACCTCTGCGGTCGTATCAAGCTGCGCCCAGCGGAGCATTTTATTTGTACATAAACAGTGTCAACAGTTTTACAAACGTAGCAAAATTGTTTTTAATTTAATTAAATATAAACTGTTGCAAGTGTTGGCCCATTGAATAATAATAATTGACCATTATATTAAATACTTTTATTCTGTATGAAGCATTTATCCAAGCTAGCCATGATATCCTTTCTCTCAAATGAGTCTTCCTTCTCTTTTACAATAATAAAACTTACATTTTTGGCCCACTGGTTTCTTCCAGTTTGGCAGTCAATTCAGTGAGTTTGATATACATCAGCCACAATTAATTTTGACTCTAAAGAGTCTTCTGTTGACTTCCACAACCTGGGTATCAAACATAGTACTGTTGAATAGGTTATGTCATGTCACCCAAAGGTATGATGAGTATCTTAAACGGCAAAAAACATTTTTCACAATAAATTTATAGAGAGTTACTCCCCTTGTTTTTGCTTATTTCTAAAAAAAATCTAGTGCTGAATATTTTGTTTATTCATAGAAATATTTATAAATTACATATTGATTACGAAATATAAAATTTGAATGTAATTTGATAAAAAATAAAATGATGTGTACATATAAATAATTATATACCATCATAAATAAAACATTGTAAATGAAAGATAATATCTTTAATACTTCTAATGATTTCAAACCTTATGAGCTCACCTTTCCAAAGGAAATGTGAGCTTTTGCAATCACTTGGCGTCCACCGTTGTCGACGTCCGTCCAGTGTAAACTGTTTCAAACATCTTCTCCTCTGAAACTACTGAACCAATTCCAACCAAACTTAAGCTGAATGATCCTTAGGGAATTTAGAATAAAGTTTGTGTTCTATTTTTTGTTTCCTCAAAAAACATGGCCGCCATGGCTAAAAATAGAACATAGGGGTAAAATGCAGTTTTTGGCTTATATCTCAAAAACTAAAGCATTTAGAGCAAATCTGTCATGAGGGAAAAAATGTTCATCAGATCAAGTTCTATCAGCCCTGAAATTTTCAGATGAATCTGACAACCCATTGTTGGGTTGCTGCCACTAATTTGGTAATTTTAAGGAAATTTTGCAGTTTTTGGTTATTATCTTGAATATTATTATAGATACAGATAAACTGTAAACAGCAAAAATGATTAGCAAAGTAAGATCTACAGATAAGTTTAATGACCAAAATTGTCAATTGATCCTTAAGGAGTTATTGTCCTTAAAGACAATTTTTCACAATTTGTTCATCTAGTTTGCTTACTTTAAAAAATCTTCTCCTTTGAAACTGCTGAATCAATTTCAGCCAAACTTGGGCTGGATGAGTTTCAGAGTATCTAGTATGAATTTTGTATTTTATTTCCTTGTACGTCAAGAAACATAGCCACTATGGCTAAAATGGAACATAGGGGTAAAATGTATTTTTTTGCTTTAGAAGAAAATATGACAGATACACAAAGAACATTTAAATGGAATTTTTAAGCCCTCAATAATATATATTGAAAAGCAAAAATAATCATTGATGAAAGATTTAAGCAAAAAATTACAGGTGAGCGATTCAGGCTCTTGAGAGCCTCTTGTTTTAATGACCGTATTTGTCCTATTAGAATCGAAATAATTCATGGAAGCCATAGATTTGTTGTAAATTTACACATGGCCTGGGCCGTGATATTCGTTAATTTTATCCCTCGCTAACGCTCAGGATAAAATTCGAATATCACGGCCCAGTCCATGTGTAAATTTCCAACAAATCTATGGCTTCCATGAATTATTTCTTAAACAATCCAATTTCAGACCTGTATCAAGAGCGAATATTGTGTTCATTTTTGCCCCAACTGTTCAGGGTTGGATCCCTGCGGTCGTATCCAGCTGTGCTATGCGAAGCAATTTATTAAATATTAAAAAATATTAAAAAATATGTTTTAATATGAATAAATGATTATTATTATTAATAAATATGGAATTAATTCCACAACAGCTTGCCATATAATAATAAAATGTGTTTGTCAATCCATGTCAGTCAGTCAGATATCAGATGGTCTCTCATACAGACATTTCTCAACTGAATATCTGTAAAACCTATGTGGAAGGTCTGTAGAAGCAATATCTCAGAAAAAATAGAGTCAATTAAACCTAAATCTCTGATAAGAGATTAATAACATTTAATGTTGACATCAGCAATATCTCAAAGCAATATGAAGGTCAACACACATCTTCTTTTTTTGAGGGTGTGTGGATGTAAGTTATAGGGATCTTTGTAGGATATTGGCAAGGAAATATGTTATCGTAAGTGAAATAATATTGTGTATCAAATATCCTCTTGGTTTGATCAGTTCTATCAGCCCTGAAATTTTCAGATGAATCTGACAACCCATTGTTGGGTTGCTGCCACTAATTTGGTAATTTTAAGGAAATTTTGCAGTTTTTGGTTATTATCTTGAATATTATTATAGATACAGATAAATTGTAAACAGCAAAAATGTTTAGCAAAGTAAGATCTACAGATAAGTTTAATGACCAAAATTGTCAATTGACCCCTTAAGGAGTTATTGTCCTTAAAGACAATTTTTCACAATTTGTTCATCTAGTTTGCTTACTTTAAAAAATCTTCTCCTTTGAAACTGCTGAATCAATTTCAGCCAAACTTGGGCTGGATGAGTTTCAGAGTATCTAGTATGAATTTTGTATTTTATTTCCTTGTACGTCAAGAAACATAGCCACTATGGCTAAAATGGAACATAGGGGTAAAATGCATTTTTTTGCTTTAGAAGAAAATATGACAGATACACAAAGAACATTTAAATGGAATTTTTAAGCCCTCGATAATATATATTGAAAAGCAAAAATAATCATTGATGAAAGATTTAAGCAAAAAATTACAGGTGAGCGATTCAGGCTCTTGAGAGCCTCTTGTTTTAATGACCGTATTTGTCCTATTAGAATCGAAATAATTCATGGAAGCCATAGATTTGTTGTAAATTTACACATGGCCTGGGCCGTGATATTCGTTAATTTTATCCCTCGCTAACGCTCAGGATAAAATTCGAATATCACGGCCCAGTCCATGTGTAAATTTCCAACAAATCTATGGCTTCCATGAATTATTTCTTAAACAATCCAATTTCAGACCTGTATCAAGAGCGATTATTGTGTTCATTTTTGCCCCAACTGTTCAGGGTTGGATCCCTGCGGTCGTATCCAGCTGTGCTATGCGAAGCAATTTATTAAATATTAAAAACTATTAAAAAATATGTTTTAATATGAATAAATGATTATTATTATTAATAAATATGGAATTAATTCCACAACAGCTTGCCATATAATAATAAAATGTGTTTGTCAATCCATGTCAGTCAGTCAGATATCAGATGGTCTCTCATACAGACATTTCTCAACTGAATATCTGTAAAACCTATGTGGAAGGTTTGTAGCAGCAATATCTCAGAAAAAATAGAGTCAATTAAACCTAAATTTCTGATAAGAGATTAATAACATTTAATGTTGACATCAGCAATATCTCAAAGCAATATGAAGGTCAACACACATCTTCTTTTTTTGAGGGTGTGTGGATGTAAGTTATAGGGATCTTTGTAGGATATTGGCAAGGAAATATGTTATCGTAAGTGAAATAATATTGTGTATCAAATATCCTCTTGGTTTGAAGTCAACACATCTTACTTGCAACATTACTTATATCTGCAGAAAAAGACAAAGACAAAGAATCTGATATTAACAACAGAATAATAGATTCAATTGTTCAACAATTCCACATCAACAGCAAAGATCTAAGCACATCAGTGTCTCCCCATGGAATTATAGAGAGAAAAAAGGAATATCAAAATATACCAAAATCATTAGACAAAGAAGAAACTCCTAATGAAAGATTTGAACACAGAGAAGATGTTTTTGGTGAAAGGGTTAAAGACCAAGGTGATGTAATTGCTGTCAGTGTAAAAGAACCAACTTTATCAGAAAGGGATGACAGTCATAAAACGCAAGAACAAATTGCAACAGAAGAGCTTTCAGCCTTATTCAAGTCTGGTGTAGTTTTGAATGATAAGGATGAAAACCATACCACATTAACTTTATGGGATTTTGCAGGTGATGAAGAATTTTATGCAACACATCAAACTTTCCTTAATCCTGATGCTGTTTACATTTTGGTAACAAATTTAAATGACAGAGACGATGATAATGAAAACCATAAACATGGTATGTAAAATTTAAAATCATGAATTAAGTTAGTAGTTTGAAATGATAGTGTACGTCTTTTCATTTTTATGCAAAAAAGTTCTCCTTTGTGTTAAAATATTCACTTTAAGCCTTTATAAGCTGAAGATGGAGTCATTCTGTTTGACATTTACTATCTGAGATCTGCTTACAAATTGCCTCTACAACTATTAGTGAATGGGACAATAAAAGGAAAAACCAAGATAGTAAGGGTGTCCAATACTTGTTTTTTTTTGACATGGTAAAGTAGGTTATGTAGGGAAAATGAGTATTGTTGAAACGGTAATTATCCCCCAACTTTTGTCAGGATGCACATATTTGGTCAATATACAAATGCAACTGTGCTACAAAATAACAAAAACATTCTTTAACTTCTACTTTTAGTCAGGGGTAGTATATATAGAATAATACATGGCAAAATCCGTATGGCATGCTGTATCACCACTAGGTCCCGAGGGCTGATATTAGTCGTGGTGATACAGCATCCGATACAGATTTTGCCATGTATTGATCTGTTTAGCATATATTTTAATAGAATCAGATTCATGATATATAAGGGGACAACCATTTGATTCTGAGGTGGGTCTTGGAAGATTTTAGAAATAAATATTCTTGCCCCAATTTAGGTAACAATAAAGAATCTTGCCTTATCACACATGAAAATAAATATTCCTGTCCCAAATAATTATTTACAAAGGTGTCCAATATTTACAGAAGATCCTGAAAGAAGTATAGTAAGTGGTGTTTTGAGTGATATGCAGTGAAAATCACCCTTTCTTTTGACCAGATAAAAATAATTTGAATTGTGAAATCTTCTTAAAAAAAAATTGACTCTCTAAGCTCACCAGAAATTTTACTATTTTGGATAAAACACCCTCTTTCCTTGGACCCTCGATTGTAAAGGTATTATATTTTCATATTAATAGAATATGTATTCGAGACTTCATTTTGACTGCTCTTTTTAGAAGTTGTATGTGTATGCTATAAAAAGGTGATCTGTGTCACAAAAGATAAATTACTTTATGGGGTGAAAAGTTGATTCTGAGGGGTGGCTAGGAGGGTGAAATTCTGTGTCAATTTTTGAAAGAGCAGATAATAAATATATTCCGGCCTGGGTCTGAGTGAACATAAATAATCTGGCCACCTTTATATTGAAAATAAATATTCTGATCTGATCAAATTTGCTAGTCCCCCCTCAATATTAAATGGTTGTCCAATAATAGACTGCTTTTTAAAACCCTTTTGATGGCGCTTCTTTAGTGTGGTAACATCTGATCAAATTTGCTATCCCCCCCCCCCCCCCCTCAATTTTAAATGGTCGTCCATTAATAGACTGCTTAACCCTTTTTCTGGCGCTTAATATTAGTGTGGTTACATGTCGTATCATGCCAGGAAATACGGCAACAAGACATCATATTTCCAACTTTGACGTCATTTGATATATGACGTCACGCCCTGATGACGTAACATTGGAGACCTATCGAAGCCTCGGAAAAAAAATTAAACTATATATTATCAGCGGTGTTTTATTTGAAAGAGATGCGGTAATGAATAAGTGCTTGCATAAATTGAATATATGGATACATGTGTCCCTCTGGTAGCATGAAGATGGTTAACATTATTTTCGTCTTCTGAAATATCTAGCGGATAAACAATCTTGAGGCGTTCCAAAAGGGGCGCAATACCAGTTTAGCTATGCCATACAGGGTATGTGGTACAGGGTAGATGATACAGACAGGAGAAAAGAACCTTTATTAAATATTCAAAATTTCTGTATTGAGTACTTAATATATGATAAATACTTATACAAGTTATTTTTGTATACTTGAAGATGTGAATAATATTAACTGTATAAGTACATTCTGTAAATTTTTAAGATTAAAAGAAATAGGGTTTGAATAATCTCCACTAAGGCTTCTCCAAAAATGTATTCATACAAGTAAGCATACCCCACTCTGAAGAAACTCTAAAGAAAGGGTATATATATAAGTTTACATTTGTGATACTGTTCCTCCCATAAATTTCTAAGGAACCACACATCTGAGCTTCCTAAAATTTGGTATCACTCTTCATGCGAGCATGCTATACCATGTGATGCTTTTTCAGATTCATCTATCATTCATAACTTCAGGTTTACAAAATACTTTTAGCAATGGTATCATTTGTGAGCAATTTATCGCAGCTTGAAATTCTCTAGTTTTGTTCTGGTTTGTAAGCAAAATTATTTTGATTTACTGTGGATTCATAATTATTCTTTGGATACCAATTTTCGTGGGTTTCTTGGGTACAGGTGAACCACAAATTTAAATGTTCAACGAATAGCAAATGTTCTATAGGCTTTATATGCAGAGATTGGCAAAACCATGAAATCAAATATCCACGTAAATGCAAGTTTTGCACAGTCCACTAAAATTGATACCCACGAAAATAAATGAATCCACAGTAGTTCAATCTTTTATCTCAAGAACTGTTCGATGAATTCCACTGTTCACAGTTAAGTAACTACATGAACTAAGCCAGGCTTTCAAACATTTCTCTCTTCTGACTTGTAAATAGGCAGTGTTTTGAAAACAGACATACGAGTGTTTTTTTCCCCATACATTGTCATTTGATGAATAGTAAAGACAACTATTAAAAACAGACAATCAAACAATCTATAAGAGCAATAGTCAAGAGAAATTTTAAGAAAAGAAGAACATTTTACTTTCTTATTTATATAAGTAAAAAAGTGGACATCTGAAGAAGATACTTTTACTACAAATATTTTAAGATATACAATGTATATAGATACCAGTAACTAAATGTTACTAATTATACCCCTCACTGACCTTGTAAACGCAGTAAGATAATTCAATAGACAAATCATATCAAGATAAGATGTGGTACGATTGCCAAAGAGACGTAACTATCCACCATAGACCAAATTACATGTATGTAAGCATATATAGGTCACTATACGGCCTTCTATTTTCACTTTTTAAGAAATTGCCCTTGAAAAATTATGATATGGTCAACAACTACAAGTATCTTTTGGTATACTTGTGACCACTTAAATAAAACCAAATCCTTGTAAAGTCCTGGTTTTGTCTTTTGAACTTGTTACAGTTAACAGTTAACAAGGTAGGACATTTCAAATTTTGTAGAACAGTTGTACATACTTTTGGAACTAGAAAATGTTCCATATATATCTTTTCAGCTTCCTACTTTCTTTATGTTAAAATCGTGCTTTAACTTTATAAATATCAACCAGGGCCCAAATGTTTATGACTTGGATATTTTGGTTATTTTCTGTTGTTCATTCTGCTGTTAAAGGAGAAGGTCCAGCCGGGCTGTCTTTGGCCTAAAATTCTAAGTACATCTGATGAAAGATTTTTGACATTTTTTGAACACTCAAGTGTCTACTTCAGTCGATTCAATTAGTTAGTGTTAAAATTTGAACTGATTTGTTCATTAAAGACGCTCAAATTAAAGCTTAAATAGGAAAAATCTATCAAATATGCCATAAAACGTCACTCTTCAGATGGTTTTTGTTTAAAATGGAAGTGGCGGCATTCGTGTTCAGTCTCAATATTTATTTATTTTATTTATTATCATTAGATACAAAATATATTTAGATATTAAGACTGAACACAAGTGCGGCAACTTCCATTTTAGACAAAAAACATCTTAAAATTAGCACAAATACTAAAATTGTGACGATTTCAGTATTTTTGCATGCAATAATGATGCTAGTACCTGATGCATGTCCATTGTATTGTCAAAAACAGCCAATATTTATGTAACAAAAGTATTCTACATTCCAATAAATAGCGTAAAGTGACATTCTTAACTCTTTAGTAAAAATGATATATATTGGGGCCAAAAAGAGGTCTTACCAGGCCTACTCCTTTAACTCTTTGTTAAATTCTAGGTTAGATAATCGTCATGGATTGTTATGAAACTTGGACAGAAGCTAATCTTCAAGATCAAGAAATGTCATCTAAAGAAAAAGTTTGATTTATTTTGCCTTGCCAGCGCCGAAATTCGTAGAATGCAAGACATAGGGATTACTATCTGGTGGCTGCAGCTACGTAAACTATTTGTATAAAGCTTTATATTTCAGAAGGTAGTTGAAACTTGGATGCTTCATACCTTATATGCATGCCAATACCTTCTGCTATGAAGTTTCCTTCTTTTATATGGCCATGGTCCTTGACATCATTTACATGGTTCAGCAACTGCTTGTAAAAACATTACGGTAAAGTGTTTTTGTAATGTGATTTTATCACTTATAATGAGTAACAGGATAACTGTATTTGGTATATGGGTTCCTTGCAACATCTACTGTCCATCAGACAGGTTTCATCTGACCTGGACCTCATTTCATGGATCAGTGATCAAGGTTATAGTAACACGATTAGGCCCATTTCTCAAATACGGTAAGCAGTAGGTCAACTATATGTGGTGTATGGAATGATTGTATTAATGGGGTACATGTCAGTCTTGCAGGTTTCATCTGACTTTGTTCTCATTTTCATGGTTCATTGGTCAATGTTAAGTTTTTGTGTTTTGGTCTGTTTTTTCAAATAGTAGAAGCAATATCTTAACTATATTTTGTGTATATGGAATGATTGCAAGGTGTACATGTCTGTCTGGCAGGTATCATATCTCCTTGACCTCTTTTTCATTGTTCATTGGTCAATGTTAAGTTTCTGTAGTTTGGTCATCTCTATATATACTATAACCCTACTGAAAATGTAAAGTGGGATTTCACTGAAAATACCAGTGGAGTTCCATCAGAGTTCCATTGGAATACCACTGTATTACCACTGGGAAATTTGGTCGGGATTTTCATTGGACATTCATTGTTTTCCATTGGGATATCAGTGGAATATCCAATGGGATTCCGGTGAATACTCGAGTGGAATACAGTGGAAATTCCATTGGAATACCAGTGAAAACTTCGTTGGAATACCATTGTTTTCCCACTGGACATTTATTTT